AGGTCATATGACCCTGGGCTTTTTTTTTGATTGGGAGACTTTTGATGACTGCTTCTATATCATTAGGGGTTATAGGTCTATTTAAATTGCTTATCTATTCTTGATTTAATTTTGACAAGTGATATCTATCCAGAAAATTGTGTGGAGTACAGGTTTTCAAAGTATGACATGATGATTCTCTGGATTTCCTCAGTGTCTGTTGTTATGTCCCCCTTTTCATTTGTGATTTTTTTTAATTTCCATGTTCACATTCTGCCATCTGGTAAGTTTGGATAAAGGTTTGTCTATCTTGTTGATTTTTTCAAAGAGCTCTTACATTAATTTTTTGTATTGTTTTCCTAGTTTCTTCTTTATTGATTTCAGCCCTCAATTTGATTATTTCCTGGCATCTACTCCTCCTGGGTGAGTTTGCTTCTTTTTGTTCTAGAGCTTTCAGTTGTGCTGTTAACTCTCTAATGTAACTATTCTCCGGTTTCTTCATGTGGGTACTTAGTGCTATGAACTTCCCTCGTGGCACTGTTTTCAAAGTGTCCCATATGTTTGGGTATGTTGTGTCTTCATTCTCATTGAATTCTAGGAAGTCTTTAATTTCTTTTTTTATTTATTCTTTGACCCAAGAATGGTGCAATTGTGCATTATTCAATTTCCATGATTTTGTAGGCTTTCTGCAATTTGTGTTGTTGAATTCTAATTTTAAAGCATGATGGTCTGATAAGATGCATGGAGTTATTCCATTTTTTTTCCTGTTGAGGTGTGATATGTTGCCAAGTATGTGGTCGATTTTTGAGAAGGTTCCATGTGGTGCTGAGAAGAAGGTATATTCTTTTTAATGTGGATGAAATGTTCTATAGATGTCTGTTTATCCCAATTGGGTCATAACTTTTATTAGTTCCTTTGCTTTTTTTTAAGTTTCTGTCTGGTAGCCCTGTCTAGTGGTGAGAGTGGGGTATTGAAGTCTCCCACTATAAGTGTGTGGGGCTTTATATGTGATTTTTAGTAATGTTTCCTTTATGAATGTGAATGCCTTTGTACTTGGGGCATAGATGCTTAGAACTGAAACCTCATCTTGGTGGATTTCTCCTGTGATGAGTATGAAATGACCTCCTTCATCTCTTTTGATTGATTTTATTTTAAAATCTAATTTGTTACGTATTAGGATTGCTACCCCACTTGTTTCTTGGGCCCATTTGATTAGAAAATCTTTTCCTAATCCTTAACTCTGAGGTAATGTCTGTCTTTGAGGCTGAAGTGTGTTTCTTGTATGCAGCAGAAGGATGGGTTCTGTCGTTGAATCCATTCTTTTAGCCTGTGTCTTTTTATAGGTGAGTTAAGACCATTAAGGGATATTAATGACCATTGATTGCTCATTCTTGTTTGTTTTGGAATGGTTGATTGTGGTGGAATTATATGTGGATTTCCACCTCTTTTTTCTTTTGGCTGTTGGTAAGGTGGGACTATCTACTGCCTAAGATTTTCAGGTTGTAGTTAACTCCCTTGGGTTGGAATTTTCCTTCCAGAACTTTCTGTAGGGCTGGGTTAGTGGATACATATTGTTTAAATCTGGTTTCGTTATTGAATATCTTGTTTTCTCCATTTATAGTGATTAAAAAGCTTTGCTGGGTATAGCAGTCTGGGCTGGCATTCGTGGTCTCATAGTGTTGTTAGAGTATCTATCCAGGACCTTCTGGCTTTCAGAGTTTCCATGAAGAAGTCAGGTGTGATTCTGATAGGTTTGCCTTTGTATGTTACTTTGGCCTTTTTCTTTGTTGCTCTTAATATCCTTTCTTTATTCTGTATGTTCGGGTTTTTTAACTGTTATGTTGCGAGGGGACTTCCTTTTGTGGTTCACTCTATTTGGTTTGGTGTTCTGTAGGCTTCTTGTATTTTCATTGGCATGTCTTTCTTTCAGTTGGGAAAGTTTCTTCTATGATTTTGTTGAATATGTTTTCTGCCCCTTTGAGGTAGTTTTCTTCATCTTCTTCTTTACCGCAAGAGAAATTTTAAAAAACCTAACTTAGATATAGAAAGTAGAATGGCTGTGAGCCAGGACTACAACCAAGATGCTAATGGGGATGAGGAGACTTTGGTCATAGAGTACAAAGTATCTACACAAATACATTCCAGAGAGTCAGTTTTCTAGCAGGTAACCAGATAACAATGATATATTGTGTAACTGAAATAGTTAAGAAAGATTTTAAATGTTCTTACAAAAACAATAAATGAGAGATGATGGATATGTTAGTTTTCTTGATTTAATTATCTCTCAGCATATACATATATCAAAACATCACATTATCCATTATCAACATACACATACCTTTTGCCAATTAAAAACAGTGAATTATTTTTAAATGTTTTTGCTACCTCAGTAAACTTTAAGCAATCAATCTTCACCTCCCTCTCTCTAGGAAACCATTCTTAACTGTCCCAGGCAAATTTGTTGCAATCTCTTTTCTGTGTCCATGGGGTCTTTGTATATTTTTTAAAATTGCTTCTTATAGAGTAAGTTTACATGTCATTTTCTGTACATTGGCTTCCTGAGAAAATTGTTGTAAACAACATTTTTGCATCTTCCTTTTGTAATATTAGCAATAGTTAATTATATTATTATTGAGATCGATTAAAATATTATATCATCTTTATTTTAATAGCCAGTAGAGTAAACTTATTTTGGCAAGCATACTTTACAAATTGCCTTTTGCCTCTTACATTTTAGTGTGTTTGTGCATGCGGCAGTGGGATGACAGCTTGTGGGAAACAGTTCTGTCCTTGCACAGTGGGCTCTCTGGGGCTCGAACTCAGTTGTCAGCAAGTGCCTACACTTGTCTGGCCATCTTGCTAGTACAGATAGACCTTTTAATACACACAGCTGAATCTAAATGGCTGAAAGAACCCAATATCTAAAAATAGAATTTAATATTTAAAAATGAAACTATGAAGGAACAAAGATTAAAAACAAATCATGAAAGAGTTGTTCAAAGCTTCAAATATGAATATTAATTTTTTCTAAAAATGTTAAACAATTTTAGAAAAGGAACAATATTTTCTGTAAAACTGAGAGACTGCCATTGAGAAGATAGTGGGGAAAGGTGCTTGCTGCACAAACTGGATGACCCGAGTTCAACCCAGGAAATCTACTTGAAAGAGGAATGAGGGAACTGCCTCCAGGAAGTTGTCTTCTGACCTCTGCATGCCTCAGATACTCTTCATACACAAACTATTATATCAAATTGAAAATGTCAAAAAAAAAAACCAAACCCCAAAACCCAAACCCTGAAGGGACGACATGTTAAAATGGCTATCATAAGACAATTTTATATCAACTGAGAAATAAAGAATTACAATTTAAATGAAAAAATTAGATGCAGAAAATAGACAATTTAAAAGAGAAAACGTACCAGTAAAACAGTATTTAAATAAAATAAATTTGAAACACACTGATATTAGAATTAGTATAATTCTATACAGCAGCAAAATTCTGACTTCATCTGTTAAATCTTCAAGTAGTTGTGTTGACAATACTCCAAAACTAACCAAGAAATGTTTAAGCTGATGGCTTTTGGGAGGGAGATTTAGTCTTCTGAGATATGTGAGAATAATCCCCTTCTCTGACTGAGCATGCTGCCATCCAAAGTCATCAAAGATGATGTCTGCATGGTTCTTTCAACCAGGCAGCTATCTAATTCTATGATATCCATGATGTCATACAATTATTTTTACACAATTACTTTGTACCAGAACTATTTGAAAACATGAAATAACACGTTGAGGCTACCAAAAAGCAAAACTCAAATAAACCATTGGACAAACACAGTAGATTTTAACCTGCTGTCGCGGGGACCCATTGGGTAAATATATGCCTCTGGAGGCAGGAGAGACTCCTGGAACCTCAAAGGATGGGTAACTGGGGGTTACATTTTCTTTCCATTAATTCATTATCCATATGCATACAGTGCCATTTAATGACTGGTAAGTAAATATTTCATTCAATCAAGTCTTTCTCTTGGCATTCTAGAAAACGGTCATTAGTTATAACCTTCTAATTTGTTTGCTATAATGACCGATGAGACAGGTGTAGCATGAAAGTTCATCTTACATGTTCCTGGTGACAATTTAAAGATTTACCTTTGGACATATTTGGCAGCTGGGCTTGGTGGCTCATGCCTTTAATCCTGGTATCTGGGAGGCAGAGGCAGGCAGATAGCTGTGAGTTTGAGTCAGCCTGGTCTATAGAGTGACTTGCAGGACAGCCAAGGCTACACAGAGAAACCCTGTCTCAGAAAAAGAAAGAACATATTTGGCAGTCAAAAATGTCACCTTCATTGACTGGTTGGTACTTACTTCAATAATGTGTGAATGTGTAATTTCATTCCCAGGAACCCTCCATAAAGAGGTAATGATATGCATCGAAAAACTGGGAAATATCCAAGTGTTATATAAAATATCAAGTAAATATATTTCAGCTGTTTAATGTCATAGGGCCATGGCTCATGGTGTTTTCTTGATGGGCTGCAACAAAGTTAACAAAAATAAATATCACAAAAATTATTCAGCAATCAAATAGGTATAGTATATTGTCCAGGTGCAAAAAAAATGTTAAGACTACAGTGCTGTAAAATAAAATTTAGGCAAGAATATAATTTTAAATATTTGCTTTGTTTTCCAGATTTTGTATAATATAGTGAGAAGATTTTTCACAATGAAAAGATAGATGAAGGGATGGGAAGGTTAAAATCTTAGATTCAACAATGAAATACATATTTATTATACCTACTTAATGTTAAGCCAATGAATGATTCCAAAAGAAAGCATCTGCCGGCAGCAGTAGTCATACTATGTGGAAATCAATTCCTCTCATTCCCTAACTGAAAGCGAATTAGAATTGATTTCTAACAGGTAACCTCATCATACTGAAAGGTATAAAATGGGTCATCCTAATTTATATTGAAAGCAAGCTTTCTTAACTGCTGTTAGTAAATGTGTTCTTTTCAATACTTCAGTTTTTGCTTCACATTAACAACCCTATCAACCTGAGACGATGGCACATCTTCAAGGATTTGTTGCACTCCGAAAGGCGGCTTCAGAACACCACATCAGCCTCACCAGTAGAGGCAGACCTGATGATGGTCACAGAGATCCTGGAGAAGCTAAACCGGCAGATCCCACCCAGACCCTTCACCCACCTCAACACCACCACCAGCGCCAAAGAGAGCAGAGCCACCATCCTCAACCCTCGGGGCACATACTGCATAGGCGACCAACTGGATGTCCTGCTGGTAGCCAAGGACTACTTTGGTCACAAGAAGAAGTATGGTGGGGACTTCCTGAGGGCCAGGATATTTTCTCCAGCCCTGAAGGCTGGCGCTTCTGGAAAGGTGACAGACTTCAACAATGGCACCTATGTTGTCAGCTTCACTCTGTTCTGGGAAGGCCCAGTCTCCCCGTCTATCCTACTCATGCATCCCAGTGAAGGGGTGTCAGCTCTCTGGAGAGCTAGGAACCAAGGCTATGACAGAATCATCTTCACTGGCCAGTTTCTTAACGGCACCTCCCCTGTCTTCACTGAATGTAGCCTGACCTTAAACGCAAATACTGAGCAGTGTCAATACCTGGATGCTCGGGATCATGAAGCCTTCTACTGCATAAAGCCTACACATGTTCCCTGCGAGGCCCTGACGCACATGAGAACCAATAATAATAATGTCTCCTACCTCAGTCTTAAGGAACATCTCCTTTTCCGGAGGTAAACATTAAGGGCTACCAAAAGGTAGACTTTGGATCTGACCAAACTGTTGAATACATTACTTTGACTAATCAAACTGTCATGTTGGTGTTGACTAAGTTATAACTAGGTCCAAACTCCAGAGGTAGCTTAGCTGGCATTCTGGGTTACCTCTGGGACCATCGGCTGAAAGGAATACAGCCGGAAAGTGCCTAACACAGTGTAATCATCTTGTTTTCCACGGTGAATGGTAATTCCAGATTCAGTAATTCTTTTTTATGTGCCAGTATTGCCTGTAACATAATCATGAAATGCTGTCCCACATACTATTAATTAAATGAGTAGGATCATTACTCATTTACTCTACCCTTTAATCCAACCAATCATTAAATCCTATAAATTGTACCTCTGAACTGTCTCCTGAACCCACTCATTTCTGTCAGTCACTGTTGCCTCTCTCTTGGATGAGCTCTCATCAGAATTCATTTAGACTGTGTCAGTGATCTCAGGGGCTGCTCTCTGTGCTCTCATTCATGTTCTAAAATGCATATATATGTATATACATATATATTAATATATTAACTCTTCTATGCTCAAGAGCGTTGCTATGGCTGTACAGCTCTAAGAATGAACTCAGACTCTAACCTGTTTATAGCTTCTTCTTTAACTTTCATGCTGTTTTCCTTTCTGCCAGTCAAGCTGAATATTTATTTCACCATTTGCAGTTCTAAGCCTTGGCTTAGCTGCTGTTGTTTCCAGGAAGTGTTTTGTGTCACAAGGAGAAGGGCTCTAGTCCTGTCTTCCAATAGCGTGCTGTTCTTTCCCAATATGACATTATACTGTTCATGTTCTGAGAAGCAAGAATTGTGGGAATATATTTTCCATGTCCATTCATCCATTCATTCAGTCAGTCTATAAATAGCACTTTCTGTGTCCCACGCAGAGTTCTAGGGAATGGTCATTCTCGTGAGACAGAAAGACAATGAACAAGTAAGGGAATCTGTAGCAGGAAACCCAAATGTGACATTGACACTATTTTAAAATAATAATCCGGTCAGACTCTGGGCCCCATGTCTCCATGATCACGTTTCCCCTTCAACCCTTTTTCAACTTCATTTCTTATTTTTCTCATCAAGGTCTGGAAAAAAAATCCCTTTACCTTATTTTTGGCCAAAGAGGTTGGTCTTTTCCAAATAAAAATTTTACTAATAAGTAATAAAATAAGGCCTGTCTAGAGCAGCAACCCAAATGAAATAAAGGGGGCAAGCCATGTGAGCATGGGGGAAAATATTCTCAAGAGAGGGAGGGGCATCCAGGGCCAGAGCATGCTGGGGACTTCAGGAACTGTTAGTAGGGCAGGCCGAACCCCAGAAGTCACCTGTGGGGCAGGGAGCCACTGAGAGCCACAGACTTAGTTCAGTGACACTTAGAGGGTCTCCGTGACTGCGTTGAAGGAAAGAACAAGTGAATGTAACCTGAAAATGATAGAATGGGTTTTTTTCCCTCAGAAACTTGAATGTGTGTTCCTCAGACCAGATTCGAGTGGTTCCCAGGCTGAACTGATGACTTATTTTAAGAGCCTTTATGTCCATAGTCTGGGAACTGCTGCTGTTGGAAGGCCTTGTTTTCATGATATGTGTCCAGGAGAGCAAACTGGACAGAATAGAGCCCTGGAAATTCAAGTTCAAATGTGACAATTGACTCTTTCTTTAAACAAGACTCCCTTTTTCTCCCTCCCTCACCTTCACTTGATACTCCCCCCCTCCCAAAAGCATGGAAAAACCCGCACCTTTATCTTATAGGTCAGCTAAAAGAGGCTGGGCCTTCTCAAATATTTTTTTAATTTGAAAAAATGATTATTAATGCGACTGGAGAGATGACTCAGTGGTGAAGAGCAGTTAATGCTCATCAGAGGACTTGGGCTCATGTCTCAGCACCCACAAGGTGGCTTACAACCATCTAGAATTTCGGATCCAGGAATCCAATGTTATCTGCTGGCCTCCACGGACACAAACATACATGTAGGCAAAGCACACACACACACACACACACACACACACACACACACACACACACACACACATACAATAAAGCAAAAGTTAAAATTGCAAACTGAAAATTTAAAAAGCCAAGTGACCGTGAGGACATAGGACGAGCTCTTTTTTGTCTTGGCTATCCCAGAACCATCTCTTATTCCCAGAGTAGGGGTCATTTGTGTGTAATTCCTGTCTTTCTCACTTAGTACATCTCAAGCTCTCTTAAGGTAGACTTCATCAAGCCTAGATAGGAAAACCCATCCTGGCACAGTCTCCTGGTTATGTCTCAGAGTTCCCAAGTGACTTGCAAGCCTATATCTAATATTACAGGTTTTTTTTTAAAAAAAGACACATTGAAATGAACAAATTTATATAAACAATATATATTTTAACCATAATTTTAAGATGCTATCAAATTTGGCCTTTGGAACCAAATTGACAAGGTGGCCAAGTCTTGTTCTCTTACTATATTTAACCTTCCTTGGGCTAGATGAAGGATAATACATGCTGGACTGTAATAGACATTATTCTCACTTGGCCAGAAAACCCCTTTCTTGGGATTTGAGCAACACCCTTTCAGTGTTGGAAAACATCACCTTTGTCTTCTTTGTGGGATTCTGCAGCTCTGGTTCTGCAATTCCTACCTTCCCTCAGCTCTGGCTCTGCAGAGTCCTACCTGCCAGAAGCTAAAATTCATTCTTTTTCAAACAAACTTGATTTCATGAGATACAGTCATCAGTTACCTGGAGGTGGTTCTTATTAGGCTAGACATTTGGAATATTGGAGAAAATGAGAGTGAGCTCATTCCCACTCTCAAAGATATATCAGACCATGGAAGGCAGACTCCTGGTAGACTTGGGAAGGTGAAAAGGGAGTGAGGATGAAGCTGGAGAGGTAGATATGTTTAGGAGGCTGTATGTGGCCTGGTCTTTATTCTATAGACCATTGAGGAAAAATCATATAAAGGTTTTATATAGGATAATAAAATAGGCTGGGCTCAACCAAAGGATCAGAAAGGTAATATAATAACTTAGGTTACTGCTGCCAAAGTGATATCCTTGAACCAGTAGCTTCAGCTTCACCCAAGAAGTGAAAAAAAAACAAGTTTTATTTTTTTTAATTTATTTTTGCCTTATATACATTGTTGTTTTTGCCTATATGTATGTCTCTGTGAGGGTGTCAGATCTTGGAGTTAGGCAGTTGTGAGCTGCCTTGTGGGCCCTGGGAATTGAACCCGGGTCTTCTGGAAGAGTGGTCAATACTCTTAACCACTGAGCAATCTCTCCAGTCCCAAAAACCAAGTTCTTAAAGTTGAACTGAATCAGAAGTTCTGAGAGTGAGGCTCTTCAATGGGAGAAGTGCTATCCCAGAACAAGGTTGGTGAGGCCCTGGATTACTACAGGTGGCAAAGGTAAAGAAGGTAGTTGGCATTAGACAATTATACAGAAGTGCCAAAACCTGGGATATTGTGACATAGTGTTGTGGCCTTCAAATATGTTGGGTCACATTTCTGTCCTGGGATTCATGAAGCATCAAGTGGGCCATCCTTGACAGCTAAAATTAGAGGCTGAGGAGACAGAGAGCTAGCTACCTAGACAGATACATAGATACATAGATAGATTTGGTTGATTGAAAATAGATAAGTGACACCATGGATTTGCAGATTTCCTCACCGTCAGCAGAGAAACCATGTCCTAAAAGAATGACCCATTAATTTCATCAGAATGCCTTAAGTGTATCAAAAATAACAGCAGTCTCTTGCTGAGAATTAAGAGTCCGTCAACCCATCTAAAGCAGAGACTCATTCTTAAAGATCTGGACAGATGTTAGGCTAACTTATTTTCTCATTTCTTGAAGGTTCAACATGGCAGTTGAAATGGTGAAGAATTTGACCATCACAGTCTCACCATGTAACAGTAAGTCCAGTGAGCTCTTGGTATGGTATTCACAGCTTGCTAATTAACAACTGCCTTGTTTTGAGACATCTTGATTCTACCTTAAAAACATTTTGAGCTCTTGTTTTCTGGGACAAATGAGCTACTCTGTTTTGTCTTGTTTTGTTTTTTGAGACAGGTTTTACCTATGTAGCCTTGACTGTCCTGGAACTCATTCTGTAGACCAGGTTGGCCTTGATCTCATTGAGATCTGCCTCTTGAGTGCTGGCTATGCTGTATCTTAAAGATCGGATTTTATGTTTGGAAAATATTTTTAAATTTTTAAATAGATTTATTTTACTTTATATGTTTTATTTATTTATTTATGATTTCATTTTGTTTTATGTGCATTGGTGTCTTAACTACATGTGTGTCTGTGTGAGGGTGTTGGATCACCTGTAACTAGAGTTACAGACAGTTGTGAGCTGCCATGTGGGTGCTAGGAATTGAACCCAGGTCCTCTGGAAGAGCAGCCAGTGCTCTTGACTACTGAGCCATCTCTCCAGCCCAACTTTGTGTGTTTTTCCTGCATGTATGCATGTGTGTACAATACCAGAAGAGGACATCGGATCTCTTGGAACTAGAAGATGGTTGTGTGCTGTCATGTGGTTGCTGGAATTGAACCCAGGTTGTCTGCAAGAGGATCAAATTCCCTTAACCACTCAAAAAATATTTTCATGGCAAATTTCATCATGATTAAGATATAAAAATCTAGGGAATTGTAGTTGTCCCTACTCAAAATGTTCAGACTCTATGCATTTACACTGAGGGCTATCCTCCAAAGTCAACAGTTGGGTGCTGGTACTGTGCTAAAGAATTTCCAAAGAGCTGAAAAAACCAGGCTATTTCTCCCTTGGATTCTAATTTTCCCTTTCAGTCAAATAATTTCCCTTAAGATTCTATGAACTAGCAATTTCTGTGACTCACCTGTTATCACATGGACTTCTGTGGCTGGTATCAAGTTAGCTCATAAAGTGATTCTGTTGCCTTGGAATTCAAGTGAATTTCAGCAAAGCTAATGGCTTCTATACCAATCAATAGGTATATATTGACCTATTACCCCCTCTTCATTCACTCAGCAAATATTCAGTAAGGGAGGACTTACAGTATAGAAGTAATTGTGCTAAATCTTGGGGAGAGCATAGATGGAAATAAACCATAGGTCCAGATCTGCTGTTCAGTCTGTGAGAGAGACTTCTCTACTTGGACATCCACTAGCCATGATCAATTTTTTCTTTTTATTCTTTTTTATTTAGAAACAATCATTTTACATATCAATTCCCCCATCTCCCCATGCCCTCTACCAATCCCCCAACCCACCTATTCCCCAAGGACAGTGAAACCTTCCGTGGGGGATCAACAAAGTCTGTCACATTATTTTGGGGAGGGCCTAGGCCCTCCTCTGCACATCTGGGATTAAATAGTATCACTCCATAGGGAATGGGCTCCTAAAGTCCATTTGTACAGTAGGGATAAATACTGATCATGACCAATTTTTATATGAAAGAAAGTTCTGAGACGAGGCAACTCCAGTTGCCACCATAGATGAGATCACATCTCATTTTTTGCCTTGACAGTGATGTCTATTAAAATCAGAAGTTTCTCACAAAATAATGCCAGCCCGTTGTTGTCATTATCATCATCACTGCATTAATAATTATTAGAGTCACTAACATATCTGATATATGTAATTTAATATGGGTAAATGTAAGTTCCCAAACGTATTCCCTCAACCCCAGAGATGGAAGTAGATAATGAAAATATGATTTTCAGGTAGCAAATATAAAGTTTCCTATTCTAGTTTCATCTGTTCCTGTGACAAACACCATGACCAAAAGCAACTTAGGTGAGGAAGGTTCATTTGGCTTACACCTCTAGGTTCCAGTCTATCTTTGAGAGAAGAGAGGGCAGGAACTAAAGTAGGAACCTGGAATCAGGCCTGCTTAACATTCTGCAAAGTATTACCCCTGACCAAGGAACTCACTCCTCATCCAAGGACGTACAGCCTGAGCTATGGCGGAATCTGCTTGCTAGCTTTCATACACAGCCCAGGACCATCTGTCCATGGAATGGTGGCACCCACTGTGGACTGGTCCCTCCTATATCACTTAATAATGAAGGGAATCCTACACAGACGTGCCCACAGGCTAATAAGATCCCAGTGACTCCTCAGTTGAGACTCCCCTTCTCAGGTGATTTTACTCTGTGTCAAGTTGATAGTTAAAGCTAACTAGTCACCTACCTGGGTGGAGCACACAGTATGAGTTGATGAAGACAACTTAGGCTGTGTCAGTAGTGGAGTGTTAAGAACAAGGAGATCACTGTCCTGTTACTTCTCCACAGAAGGCAGATCACAGTGAGAATATTATGTCTAGTCTTAGACACCAGGGAATAAAAGGGTTATTATTATTAAGCAGAGAATATAATTTTGGCACAAACAGTGTATGTAAGCTCTTTCTTGAGTTAACAGCTTGAGAATAAGGAGACTTGAAGTTTCACCAAGGCTAATGTAATTGTTGAAATATTCATCTGGGTTTCTGAGCCCTGTTTACAGTTTCTTCCCAACTTAGGTTTGCTGTCTCGACTCTAAATGGCTCTGGGAACAAGGAAATACTACAGAAGCTCAAGAGAAAACAGATCCTTGCTCTACAAAGAACTACCTACTGAGAACTTTTTATTCATCCCTTGAACATGATTTCATTAAATAAATATTTGTAGAAGAAAGGGAGGCAGACATAGAGAAGAAACAAGGATGGGAGAAAAAGAGGGAGAGGAGGATGAGGGGTGTATTTTAAATATTTAAAATAGTTTGTGATAGTAAAAATTACTGAGTCTGGAATTTTTATTTTGTATTTCTAGGGATTGAAACCAAGAAAAGGAAATGTCAAATTGGAATGAAGACTCCTTTCCCCAGTGGCTATACTTTCAAAGGAAAGTGGATTTCAACATTTTGCCAGCAGAATATGTTCAGTGACATAAAAGATATAAATAACTGCTTGACAAGAAAACTGATTTACCTCATGGGTGATTCCACACTGCGCCAGTGGGTGTACTACCTAAATAAAGTTGTGAAAAGTATGTTTTATTTTTAGTTTGAAATTACAGTCAACTGTTAAGGAGTTTTAAGTAATAACAATTAGAATTCTTTGTTCTCCTCTGATCTTTATTTTATTACTACTTCCAATATGCCAACCTTTTGGTTTAGGCTGTTTTTATTTTTATGAAAGTTTTATTAATTCTTTTTATTTATTCTATGGAATACACACACACACACACACACACACACACACACACACACACACACACACTCTGGAAATCTAACCTGGGTCCTCTGGAAGAACAACCAGGGCTCTTAATTGCTGAGTCACCTTTCTAGCCCCAGGCTTTAAGTTTTAATAAAAGTTATATTTTAGTTATTTAGTCATAGATACTAGCACTATCTTTTCTATTCATGTATTCTGATGCAAATGTCAAAATTTTGTGAAGGTTTTAAGTCATTTGACAGAAATGCTCTGCCTTGTAAAAATAGCAATTGTTTAGTTAAAACTCATCATGGTCAAAGTTTTGCAGATTGTGTACATTTTAAAATATGCTACTTCTTTTTGTTAAGAGATTTGTTGATTTGTTTCCCATCAGCTCTAACATTTTTTGACGATCATGGAACTGGAATGTTTCACACTCATGTACTTCTGGATACTAACCGACATATTTTGGTACAATGGAAAAAACACGGCCATCCCTTTGTTACTAAAAAGCTGTTCTCAGTGAAAGATGACAACTATATCCCACGGGAAATTGACCAGGTGGCAGGAGACAGCGGCACAGCAATTGTCATTAGTTTTGGCCAACACTTCAGACCCTTTCCCATCAACATTTTCATCCGTAGGGCCATCAACGTCAAAAAGGCCATAGAGAGACTGTTCCTACGAAGCCCGGACACCAAGGTGATAATTAAAACCGAAAATATCAGAGAAGTAAATGAAAATGCAGAGATATTCAGTGACTTCCATGGCAGCATTCAGAATCTTATTTTAAGAGACATTTTCAGGGATCTTAATGTGGGTATTATTGATGCTTGGGACATGACAATTGCATATCGCAGTGAGGATGTCCACCCACCTAACAGCGTGATTGAAAGTCAGATTGCCATGTTCTTAAACTACATTTGCTAGAGGTTCTTAAGGTGTAGAAAACATCTCTAGCCCTCTCTACTCTTGTTCTCTCCAATCTCAAATGTACCACATAGACAACACAATCTATGTGTAGATGGAAGTTTCTGTTCCGCCCGGCCCAACAGCCATTAGTCACAAATAAATACACAGAAGTTTATATTAATTTAAAATTGTTTGACCAGTGGCTCAGGCTTCTTATTGTCTAGCTCTCTCTTAATTATTAGGTTACAAAGAAAAGTGACTGCTGAACAAGGTTCTTACTTCATCAAAAATTCTGCCAGACATTCTGAGCCTATAGGCTAAAGAGGGATGCCCCAACATTACAGAAGTCTGTAAGTCTATAGTCTAGAGTCTATACCTTCTGGGGTCTTTGATGGAGTTGAAGACAGATAGTTATGGCTTTCCTTAGTTATGATAAAAGATAAGTTACATATAAAACTTTAGACTCGCAAAGATAGGATAGATGATAGAATATTTTCTTTAAATTTTGCCTAGTGTTAGTGAACTAAATATTGTTAACTATAGTTCTTGCTTGATAACTGTTTTGTTACATATACTTTTACAATGTTAAAGTTAAAAACCTTCCTTTTTATTTAGACAGAAAAGAGGAGATGATGAGGGATGTCCTTCTGTATGCTATGAATATATGTTTCTCTTATTGGTTGATGAATAAAGCTGTTTTGGCCAATGCAAAGGCAGGGTTTAGGCAGGCAGGAAATCAAAACAGGGATAGAGAAAGGCAGTAGAGGGAATTAGGGAGACACCATGAAGCTACCAGGAAGGTAGGACACCCAAGCATTCTCTGGTACGCCAAGACCATGTGAAGATACATAGATTAGTAGAAATAGGTTAGCAATTAAGAGAGAGCTAGCCAATAGGCTGAGCCATCAGCCAAACAGTTTAGAGTTAATATAAACCTCTGTGTGTTTATTTGGGACTAAATGGCTGCTGGACCCGGCAGGACAGAAACTTCCATTTACATTTATGAATAAATGAATATTGAGAATTGTAATTAAATGTACATAGCATAAAATTTACCCTTCAAACCATTTTTTATCCTACAAGTGACTGGTGCTAAATGAAGTCCTATGCCATACCACTATCATTATAATCCATTTTTGGATCATTTTCTTCATCCCAAATAGAAATAGCAAACCTATTAATTAAATAACCACTCACCACTTTCCTTGACTCAGAGCCCCCGACATCTACAACTATACTTTCTGCTTCTGTAAAAGTGACTTTTTAGACACCTCATATAAATGAAATAATAAAATTCATGTGAATTTGGGTCTGGCTTATTTTGCTTAGCACAATGTCTTTAAGGTTCACCCATGTCAAATGCATGAGAATGTACTCCCTTTTAAAGAGTGAATATAGTTTCTTTCTGTGTATGTATTGCACTTTGTTTTTGTGTTTATTTGTTGATGAACATTTAATTTGTTTTTGTCTTTTGGGCATTGTCTATCACAAGGCTGTGAAGAGGGATATGTATTTAAAGGGGTGTTTCCACTTCTCAGCTTGATGTTTACATAGCAAATCACTACTATCATTTATTTATTTATTTATTTATTTATGGTTTTTTTGAGACAGGATTTCTCTGTACCTTTGGAGCCTGTCCTGGAACTTGCTTTGTAGACCAGAGTGGCCTCAAACTCACTGAGAACCACCTCCCTCTGCCTCCAGAGTGCTGGGATTAAATGTTCTTTTATTATTTATGTGTATTTGTGAGTGTGTCTGTTAGTGAACATCAGGTGTGTTTGGAAATGCCTGCAGAGGCCAGAAGAGAGCTTCAGGTCCTCTGGAGCTGGAGCTACAGGTTGTGACTTGTCCAAGATGGATTCTGGGAACTGAACTCTGGTTCTCTGAAAGAGTGAGAAGTGCTCTTAACCCTTGACTCACCCCTCTAGCCACCATTATTCTTACTTTGAAGGAATGTGCAGCCCAGAAACACATAGCTTAAGTGATCTGTTCAGAGAAAATGTAATGCATAGAGGAAAAATTCTCAGGACCATGAGAGCGTCATCTTGCTTAGAAAAATTCCTTAAGATTTGATAACCAGCTGTTGCTTAGATTCCCCTGTGATTTAGTAGCCATAATCCAAAGCCCACAGACTCACTGAGTAAAATCAACTTTGCTTCTGATTCTAGCTGACCTAAGAAGTCTAATAGGGGAGTCCCTCCAGGGACCTCAGAAAGACTTTATAAGCTTCATCCTAGAATCTTTCTCTTGGCAGAAAACATAATTGTCTACTTCTCAAGACTTGGTATATTTTATTCAGGATAATTACCAAGTTTGGGTTGTATTTGTGAGTGAAAAGAAGTAAAATTATAATGTTATAAGATGGACTAGACTCTAAACAACTCACAATAAAAATATAAAAATCAAAATTTCTTTCAGATTGATTTTATTTTTAATAGTGTGGGTGGGGTTATGGGTATGTACATATGAATGCACATGCCAATGAAGTCAGAAGAGGGAATTAGATCCCCTGGAGCTGGAATTACAGGTGGGTGTGAGCTGCCAGATGTTAGGCTAGGAACTAAACTCATGTCCTCTGGGTCTTGTTTTCCTTTCCTTCCCTTCCCTTCCCTTCCCTTCCCTTCCCTTCCCTTCCCTTCCCTTCCCTTCCCTTCCCTTCCCTTCCCTTCCCTTCTCCCTTTATCATGGTGTGTGTGTGTGTGTGTGTGTGTGTGTGTGTGTGTGTGTGTAAGTCAAACAGCACCTTGGGTGTTTTTCAGGTGCCTTCCATTTTCTGCTTTTGATATGGTTAAGCTTCCAGTCATTTCTTTTTTTTTTGTTTGTTTGTTTTTTGTTTTTCGAAACAGGGTTTCTCTGTGGCTTTGGAGGCTGTCCTGGAACTAGCTCTTATAGACCAGGGTGGTCTCGAACTCACAAAGATCTGCCTGCCTCTGCCTCCCGAGTGCTGGGATTAAAGGCGTGCGCCATCTCATCACTGGAATTGTAGGCCACTACACCATTAAACCAATTAAAACACCACTACACCTTTAAAAACAGAAGGATCTTGGGGAATAGAACTCTGGTCCTCACATTTGCAAAAACATGTACTTTACTAATTAAGGATCTCCCAAGCACCTCAGAATTTGCTCTGTATTGAGCTCCTGATTGATTCTTATTCTCCCCAGAGGAAGCTTCAGTTGAGAGTATTAGATCTCATTGTCTAGTAGAGAGTTTATACTTTATGCTTATAGAGAGTATAAACCTCATTGGTCTTTCAAACATTGTGTTTTCATCTTCATACTAAGGTCTCCTCAGGTTCCTTCAGCAGGGTTTTGATGGGATATGACTTCTACTTGCCTCACCCTGTTTCTTCTGGAGCTTCTCTAACTCACTTATAATAGACCTTCTACAGACCCCATATCTCACCCTAACAACCTGCATGCTCTAATTTAAGTCATCCCAGAATAACTATTACTTCTCTTCCTCTATATTTATGCTGTATCATGTGATAGTCACATGTCATTATTAATACTAAAACACAATTCAATCATTCTTCAGGATCCCAGGTCCTATTCCGAAGGATCAATAGCCACAGCAGTAAGGGCTCCTATACCATAATGATGTTTGCTTACATTTTTCTTTAGATAATATTTTTCATGTTTTGTTAGAATATTTGGGTGTTTTTCAAAAACAAATCTAGCATAACCTGAGAAAATGGCTCAGTTGAAAGGCTGCTTGACTAACAGGCGTGAGGTCCTAGTTTGATCATAAATGCCACATAAGCTGGCCATGGTGGCATATGCATGTAGTCCCAGCATTCAGGCCATGGTGGCATATGCTTGTAGTCCCAGCATTCAGGAATTGGCAGAAGGAAGGTCAGGAGTCTAAAGGTCATCCTCAGTTACATAACAAGTTTGAGGTCAGCCTGGTCTATAAGAGACCTTGTATCAATAATCAGTCAATCAACCAATCAATAATGTAGTGATAGTTTAATTTTTTGCTGAATTTTTAAAAAGCTATCCAGAGAACTGATAGTGGAGAACTCCTGACTTTTAAGTCACTTGCTTCTTATTTATTCCTTTAAAAGACATCATGGGATCTAAATAGCTCCTAGTGTTCTACCCTTGGAGTGATAGCTTTAGGTTACAGTAGATATTGACTTTGCTGTTAACATATAATGACTTGAGAAAGCCATTTGAATTCATAGACATATTCTTTACTGTTATTATCAAACCTTTTTTGAAAACCCATTTCTGTACAATGAAGTGAAACAAAACTAGAAATCAATAGCAGAAGGAAAAAACATCTCATGATATGTAGAACTTAAATAGTGCACTCTTAAACAACTGATGGGTCAAGGTGGAAAATAAAAGGGAATTGTAAAACTATCTGGAGACAAATAAAGATGAAACCATAGCATGCCAAAGTGTATGGAGCAGAATGAAAGAGATAGAAAGGGAGACTCCCAGCAGGAGATGTGACAGTCAACCACCTGACTTCACACCTCAAAGAACTAGACAAAGAACAAACTAAAGCCAAGTAAGCAGAAGGACGGGAAAACACTTTAGGAGAGAGACCAATGAGATAGATTGTAGAATAAACACAATAGAAAGCTCAAGACAGTAAGTTGCTTTTGCTGGAAATGTAAACAACAACAATGAAACCTTTTAAAGGAGAGAGAGAGAGAGAGAACACAAAACTTAGAAACAGAAAAGAGTACATTAGAACTGATGTCACAGAAACAGGGCCAGTGAAGAATGACTACAAACAGTTATGTTCTGAGTTTCAGTAAAGAGCACTGGCTGCTCTGGCAGAGGACCCAGGTTCAATTCTAAGCACCCACATGGAGGCTCACAACCATCTGTAACTCCAGTTCAGGGGATCCCATTTCTCCTGACGTTAGGCACATCCATGGTGCACATGCATAGAGACAGACAAAACACTTATACACAAAAAATAAATGCAATCTTTAAAAATCTATAACTCTTCTATAATTTTGAAAACACTGAGAAATTTCTGAAAATATACAGCCTATTAAGGTTAAATTTGGAAGAAATAAAAAAATTTCAAAACATACTTATAACTGGAAGGACAGTGAGACTTTCGGATAAACAAATGTTAAGACTAGCTGGTTTCACAGGAAATACCACCAAATGTTGAAAGAATTAACATCAATCCTTCTTAAATTCTTCCAATGAACAGAAGAGGAGGAAGCACCCCCCAACTCACTTCAGAAGGGTAGCTTCACCCAGACACAAAGCTAGACAGGGACTTAACAGAGGAAGAAAACTAATGGCCATTTCCCCGATACACATATATTCAGGTCTTCCCTAGAAAACTGAACCCAGCAAGACGGTAGAAGGATGACACATGATAGGGGAGGGGATTCCGCTTGGGATAGTAAGATGATCTGACGTGTGAACATCAGTCAGTGTGGGGCACCGTGTTAACAAAATAGAGGACAAAGAGACATGACACATTCCAACTAACTGGAAGCAAGCATTTGACAAAGCCAACACCCCTT